AACACATTTCTTTTTATTTATTTATTTATTTATTTTTTTAATTTATTTGTGTGTGTGGCCAGCTCAGCCCACCAGGGGGCAGGGCTGGCTGGCATGTGGGGCTGGGGGATTGAACCGCAGTCCCAGTGCTTTGCTGAGCTTGTTCTAAGTAGGTGCTTTAGGCCACTGAGCCATCTCACCAGCCCCCACATTTCTTTTTATTTTCCCTCTCCACCTTCCATCTCTCAGTTCCCCTCCAATTTGCAAAAGATCTATCTCCTGGCTTCCTATATCCATCCTTTTTAAATTAGTGAGACTTCAGGTTGTCCTATAAGACAAGCCATGTGATAGTTAAACTTGTTTCTCAAAGCACATCCCCCTTTTTTTTTTTAGAGTGTATCCATTTTGACACCCTTTGTTTACTTAGCTTTCAGAATACTACCCGACTTGCCTGGCTTTTTTCTCTCCCCTGGATTTGCTACTTCTCCTAGTTTACCTACTTTTTTTGTTTTGTTTTGTTTTTTGAGACAGAGTCTTGCTATGTAGTTCAGGTTGGCCTTGAATTCACTATGTAGCCCCGCCTGGCCTCAAACTCACTGCAATTGTTCTACCTCAGACTCTTAAATGCTGGAATTAAAAGCAAGCTGGAATTAAATTGTTTTCCATCCACATTTACTTCCTAGATGACCTCATCCAGTCTCGTGACTTTAAACACTATCTATGCTGATGACTCCTAAACTGACATATTCAACCTAGATCCTTCTTCTGACCTGCAGACCACATGAATTCATGGTCTCTCAGTATTTCTCCTTTAATGGACATCTCAAATTAAACAGACCCCCAAACAGAGCTCCAGACAATTCTGTTTCTCAGAAAGCACCTCCCCAATCTTTCCTATCTCAAAAATGGGAAAAGTTATTCAGGCCAAAAATCTTTTCTTGGGGCCGGGGAAATAGCTCAGTAAAATAAGCGTTTGCCTGGCAAGCGCAAGGGCCTGAGTTCAATCCCTGGTTCCACCAAAAAAAAAAAAAAAAAAAATCTTTACTTTTTTTTTAAACCAGGACTTGAACTTAGGACCTTATACTTGCCAGGCAAGCACTTGTACCACTAAGCTATATATCTGTTGCCCAGGTGAAAAATCTTTTCTTCCTCTGATACTCTATATCCAAGCCAATGGCAAACTTCACTATCACTATCTTCTAAATATAGCCAAAATTCACAAGGTGCGGTGGCACACACCTATAATCTCAGGCACTTGGAAGGCTGAGGTTGGCAAATCACAAGTCTGAGACCATCCTGGCCAACAAACATATTTAGACTTTGTCTCTAGGGGGCAGTGGGAGGGGTGGAGTCTGAGGATGTAGCTCCACAGTAAAGCACCTTTGCCTTAATACCCAGCACTAGATCAATAAATAAATCCCGGTATTCCTGTCTCTGTGGTTGTTTCTCCCCCTTGTCTCCTTCAGGCCTTTACCCAAAAGTTATCCCTCCCAGTGACTTCTCCGGAGTGCCCTATTTAAACAACACCCCTGCCAACATTTTATTCCTATTTCTCTTCAGTACTTACTGCACTCATAAAAATTTTTTTTTTTTTCCTGTGTGTGTGTGGTTCTGGGGATTGAACTCAGGGCCTTCCACGCACTAGCCAAACAATGTACCATTGAACTACATTCCTAGCCCTTTTAAAAATTTTTGAGACAAGCTCAGGC